AAACTATTTCTAATAGCAATAATAAGAAAAATGTATTATTTATCTGACATTATATCTGAATCGTAGTTTAATTCAATAGTTCAAGTTTCGATATGGTGATTCATATTTATAATTTCTTCCCGACTTTTTTTTTCAGTCCGTGTAGTTTTTATTACTTCTTATTCCGTGGACTTTGCGCTATTCTAGGTGACTTGCATCGAAAGCTTCTGCAGAACTTTGCTACTTTCGAATCAATTTTTAATATTTTTATTTTTATCGGTTTAAAATAAAAAGAAGGGGTATGTTTTGAAGTTTAAGTCTTAAAACGTCTTGTTTGTTTGAATTGTGGGTAAAATTTTTTAACAACTTACAAAGAAACTTGGTTATTTACTTGATAAATTTTCAGAAAAGTTAAAGTTCATGTTTTTTAAAAGTTATATATAAGCTTCTAAATTATTTATATAAAAATATTTATTTTATTTTTCTTTAGAAAAAGTTGATTTCCAAAATATATGTTTCAAAATAAATCTATGGACATATTAATTAGAGTATAACAATAAAAATTACATACTTATGATATTTTATTGTACACTTACTTAAAAAATTCTCGAAAATAAGTAAAACTTTAACATCGACAGTGATTTAGTGACCCCGTCGCGTTGACGTCTAGCTTGATCGGTCATCTGATAGGGTATTTTTTTTTCTCTTTCTCTCTCTCTCTTCATATATTTTTTTAATTCAAGAAAAAAACCCTAGAAATAAGAATAAGAAATTACAACAAGCAATAAGAGCAAGCAAAACAGTGGAGATTAATCGAGCACAACTTATTTGCAGCACTTCTTTCTTTGAAGTCTAATACCCTGTTTTTTCCTCGGGCTGTATTTGAACACCAGGTCTTGTCAATTTTCTCGGCTCTGATTAATGAGCTTCATAATACATCCCGCTACATATTATGTGTGTATAAGTAGTTCGTAATGTCTTACAGGCTTTAAACAGTACTTAAAGTAAAATACAAAATATCCCGTTGCTGAGATTATGAGCTAAATTAAAATAATCAATATTATTCTTTACTTTTTCGATGTATTAATGACTAATAAATACTTGTAAATTAAATCTAAAGCGCCATTCAATTATTCAGAATAGTTAAATAATACTAGTAGTCAAGAAAATGACCAACGTAAATCACAATAACGTACAAGGTTGCTTGTTTATGCCTACACCTTGAAAATTAAGTTTATTTTCCTCGCAATTGTCGTCATATTCGGTGTATAGTAGTAGTATAAATATAAACTGATTGGATTTATGAGCTGCAACTGTAATAATAAATGGTGATGAGAGTTTACGAGACAGAAAGTTTTAGTATGGATGAAATATTGCTTCTTTAGAGATAGTTGTAAATTTTTTATTTATTATACTTACATAATTGTTTTTATTATAGTTGGCATTAAAGTTTATTCATACTAATCAGAATTTTATGAAAGATAATTTTTAATATTAAAAATTAAATCACGTAGTGTGAAAGAGTTGAGAATAAATTTTAAATGAAAATGAAAAAAAAAAAAAAAAGAAATTTTAAAGAATAAAAAGAGATAAAAAAAAATTAAAGTTTTTAATTGATCCTAGAAACAGCCTGCTTTTTACGAACGAATAAATGCATGCAGAAAGTCTATTAAATGCTCAAGGATTAATGAGACTATATTACTCATGCACACATCAAATTTTTCGTCTTGATTAACAATAGCTGCGATATAATTTTTAGGATATAAAAGCACTGCAAGCTCACATATATGTCAATAATATACATGTGGAAAAGTGAACACGATACCACAGAACGCAGAACCGTTGTAAAACAATGGTAACTTTTTTGGTTTTATTTCAGCGCGAGTAAATCGTATGACGGGAATTATCAATAGGCGTCGACGAGGTATAAACTACAAAGTATGTAAAGGGATAAAAAAAAAAATATGAAAAAAAAAGTTAGAATGGAACGAAGGAGTTAAAGTTGGCTTGTACATATGAGAATAATTTTAGAGGAAAAGAGTTTGGGAAAAGAGGGTTGATAGACTAACCACATTCGCTGTGTGGGTACCTACACTTGGTATATGGCGTCTGGTGGGGATTCACCTGGCCGTAAGGAATTTAACAATGGGGAAATCTATTGTGCACTTGGTCTAACTGTGCGCGCGAAACAATGAGTCGGCGAGCTACGCGGGAAGTTTACGAGTGACCAACACCTGCCGACACACACGTATACGGTGATTTATATACTCGTATAAATGATATGCTGTGTGTGTGTGTGTGTAGGATCATAGTCTCTTCAGCGCCTACACTCGCGTGCCTACGACATTCCGGATATTAAACTCCAATGAATGTGTATTACTACCAAACCCGGAAATAATTAGATCAGCTTTAAACAACTTTACCTTTTTTTTTTTTTATCAACCCTCTGGTGTAATAAACTTTGATGAGAATATTTTTATAGCTCAATTGTCACATAATTCATTTAAAATAATTAACTAAGTCTCTTGCATATGTTAAAAAAAAAAAATTACTTGTTTCGAGAGAAATATTATTTATTTTCTTGATTCGATTCAAAAATTTTTTAAATTAACACAACTGAATAATTTAAAAACAAAAGTGAAATATAGAAAACATTAATCTTATCTTATTTCTTTTTGAATCAAGTAATTTTTTTCCAGTGTGGTAGTGAATTAATTCAATATCAAATCTTCATTAAGATCCTTAATAAAATAGTTGACATTTTACTTTAAACAAATGCAGATGAGCTGGAAGAAAAGGTATTCAAATGAGCCAAGTATAAATATAAAAAAATCTTCGATAACTTTTTATCGCATGAAATACTTTTTTACGCAAGAAATATGAATTGTTAATCGACGGTAAAAGCAATTTTATGTACTCTACATAAGAGAGACTTTACCCCTGATATTGTGAGGCGAGATTCCGGGGGTTATATTAACATTCTTAGCCGCTTCATTGCCGCTACCAAACGTCCACAAGAATCGCTTATTCTTTCTCAACTTATATATGAATATACTGTTTACAGATATTTTCTTGCCTTCTGTGACGCTATGCAAATCTTGCGGCGAACACCCTCTTTGCTCACCGCATACATTACTTTTTATCTGTTTTGTACTTTTTCATTCTAAGAGTAATTTTCATAAAAATTGTCACTCGCCCCTTTTGCTTATTTGATGTGTCAAATAACTTATAATAACTTTTCTTTTTTATTTTAATTTAATCTTTTGATAATTAATTAGCTTATTAATTCTCAAGTTAGTGAAGAGAGTTACGTAATTTTTACAAACTTTTGAACCAAATGTATTTATGAATTTAATCGTTCATGAACTTGCACAATTCTTTACACTTTGAACCTTTTTCGATACAGGATACAAAAAAAAGTCAGAGGATTCGTCTATTTTATCAAAAAAAGACTAAGGCACCCTTCTTAAAATCTTCCCTCCGCAATGTCTTGCGGAAATTCTTAAGATGTTTGTTATTACGCAATAAGAATCTTGTCAAGGGCGGAAATATCTGCCAATATAAATATCAACGTATTACCAAGTCTAGACATATGGACAACATAATAAATGATTCGCTGAAATTTCCGCATTTGGCCGAAAATGGCCAAACAAAGCTCCTGTTAAAAATTCTATGAAAATTAAATAAATCGTCTCAACCCAAAATATCTCAGAAAATGCCTAAACACAGCTTCTGTTAAAAGCGGAACTCAAAATTCAAATTTTAAAAGGTTCCTCACGGAAATTGAATTTTGGCACACAGTAAAAAATTTTGCGTCATAAAATTTTGTGTTAAAAATTTTTATATTAAATATTTAACACTATTTGGTGTTGATTTAACAGAATAAATATTAAATTTATTCATAAAAGTATTAAATATTTAACACTAAGTTTTTTGACGCAACATTTTTTACTGTGCACACCCTAATCAACACAATTCGACGATAATCGATTGATTTATTGAAACCATAAATTTTCGTTAATAAAAATACAATAGTTAACAATAATAACCAATAAACTCAGTGGCTGTTTGTCAAGATCTGATCGCACAAGTGCGTATTTATGTGGCACATGATGTTGATGATGATGATGATGATGATGATGATGGTAATGCCCGAAGAGTAATTTGCAATGGAGAAAGCACCATAGTTGGTCGTAGGCTGCATTAGCATCCGTATCTAATTAGTAATCAGGTAATGATAAACGCGAGGTGTAGGTTACATGTACATCAGAGGTTGTGGCAGACGCCATCAGCAATCAAGTGCGAGAGTGAGAGAGAATGGCCCATACCATAACACTCATGAGACGTTGAGATCGGACCTAAAGGTCTCAAGGGGTCGATCGCTCATCTCTCGCAATAACGTCGCGTGGTATCCAACCTTCTTCCCTTACCTAACTCCCTTCATGGTGATGGTTCATCCTCTCAAACTATCTTTCTCTGTTATTCAACCACTCATAATCTTGACTATAATACTCAACTGCACCAACTATCTCCTATCTTACATCGATCATCTTTCGCACGATGATCTATTAAAATTTTTATCAAATATGCATTATTTATATCTAACTATAGTTTCAGATCATTTTTATACAACAAATATATATTTGAAAATATAATCTACGCTATTAGGTTTTGATAATTAGTTAATTTTTAGTTACAGCTAACTTAAATATAAAAAGAATGTTGAGGCTGTTGTACGGGTAGTTCAATATTTAATTATCACCATATTTTTGTTATTATAAATTTATTATATTATTTGTCAATTAAGATGTAATAATTTGTTATTCTATATTCTATATTCAAGTATAGAAATAATTTTTTTATACAAGTACAATTATTATTTTATATAATTATAATAGAAAAAAAAAAAAAAACAATTTAGTAGTCCAAACGTAGACAGATTTTGTATCCTGCAATCAAAATTAACAATTATAAGAATAATATCTTGATACAAATGAAAAATAAAAAAATAATAATCTTACTTATTCTTTTAACATTGCTTCAAGCAACTCTTTAACTGGTGTGTTGGCATCAGCACCTGAGGTTTTCTCTTTGAGTAATGCTACTTTACTCTGATAATCTGCGATGCCGTTTTGAATTTTTTCTAAGTCTCTCAGTAAAAGGTCCTAAATATTAAACAAAGTAAATTTTATGATTGAGTATCAAATGATAAAATAATGACTAAATACAAAACTAGCTCCACTCACAACAGGTCGAATGTTATCGTTGTTTTTGATGTCAGTCATGTTCTTCTAAATAAAGAAAGAAGAAAATAATTAAACGATTTAAGTATATATACAAAGAAAATTCATAACTAGAAAATTTTTTAGTGTAAGCGAATGAAAAGTAATAAATTTATTCAAGTCTTACGGAAAATTTGTTCCAAGCGGTTTCTAAATCGTTCATTGTTGAATTTGGATCGCTTGTTATCTGGTCTCGTATAAACTGAAGGTCCGAAATAAAAACACGACCCATTACATGAAGACGAGCAAAGTACAGACTAATATTCTGTTTGTCTTGTACATAGAGATTATCATAGTCATCTAAGGGACATGAATACACCAGTTGCTGTAAATAAATAAAATAAAATGTTATTTTGATGTAATCTAAAAATAAATAAGTATTATATTAAACTTTATTTAATATTTATCGCTAATCACAAAATGCTTAATTATTTTTAGAATGTATATACATTTATATATAACTTGTAAATTGATAAAATATAATAAGTTATAATACAATAATAAAATAATTGATAAAATAATTTTTTTTAACATTTACCAAAGCACACATTGCGCTGATGATCACACAAAACAGTTTCGAATCCATTTTTTTTCTAAATGTTCAAAAAAATTTAGTAAATTAACGCAAGTTGACGGTACACGAAGATCTGTTTCAAATGAAAGACAGTTGTCGTTAACTTGAACGCGGTATTTATAATCAGTCTCTTCTTCCGTCCTTTAGTGTCTTATTGTGGGAGATTATTTCTAAGGGGAATAAGAGATATCTTTTTCATGAGTGGAGAAGGGGAAGGGGCTTATAAGTTTTGAATGAGTTTTTACTTTTCTACAAAAGAATTCATGACTTACGACCACAATTTTTTATCAATTCTTCGAAGTTTTATCAACTACACTGATAGAAGGATTTTTTTGTATTTAAAAAGATTTGTTAATATTTAATAAATGATTTATTAGAGGATAGGTCCTTAACAAATATTTATTAACAGTTAATAAATCATTTATTAGTATTTAAAAAATTCCTCAAAAAGGTGTTTCAATGTTTTATTTTAATTATAAAAATTACAGAGAATTAGATATTTAATGAAGTAAAAGAAAATTGAAATTAAAAGATACAAATAATAAAAAGATAAATTACAATTAGAAGTTTACATATATATATATATATATATATTATTGTTAACGTAGAGCCATCTACCAACACCGACCACCAACAAAATATTTGTTAACTATTAAAAAATCTTATTTGGTGGAAATAAATAATTTTTTCAATACACAAAAGCTTCTTAATAATTACAAAAATTTTGTTCTCATAAAAAATTAATTTAGTTAATACTAACGAATATTGTTAATAATAAAAAAATATTTTTTCCACCCAAAAAAATATCTGAAAAAGATTTTAATAAATTGATTTATTAAATACAAACAAATCCTTCTATCAGTGTAACTATTGAACTCATTTTTTTCTTTATTTTGTTATCGATACACTTAGATAAAAAAACATTATTGTCAGGAAACGGATTTTTTGGCTCTAGAATTTTTTGAGAAGAACAAAAAATATCATTTATTTATTTTTCATCGAAAAATATCAATTTTTGTTTTTATTATGACAAACATATCTCCGAGAAGATTAATTTAAATTAATTAAAATATTTCAATCAATTTGACTGATTCTACGAACAAAAAAATATTTTCTTTGTTATTATTTTTAATTTTAATTTTTATTAACTTTTTTGATTATTTAAGAATCTTAATGAAAATTCTTAGTTGAATATTGTGTAATTTTACTTGAATGAATCATTCATCTAATTCATTCATTCATAGTCCCTGAAAAAAATGGTCGAAAAATCTAGTGACGAGGTTAATTACCTATCAGATAACACTTTATTATTTGAAGGAAAAGTTAAATTTTGTAAAGAATATGTTTCTTTAATCAAGTAGTTTCTTTTTATTATATTTTATACATGTATGTATTTATACACTGAAAAAAAATTCTTGAATCAAGAAAATAATTTATTAAAGAACTTTTCAACTTAAATAAAAATTATAAAGTTCTTCAAGATTATTTACTTGATTAAAGTAAATTTTTTTTTGTGTACTATTTCGGCCCATGTCTAAGACTAGTCTCACAAAAGATAAGAGATCTTATTTTTTGCTATCACCTCGATAAATAAGAAAATCACGATTTGATTGGACTAACCCCGATGCGGTTAAAGTTTAGGTTCCATGAGCTTAAGCAAATATTAAGCTCATGTAACATGTAGCGTGGAGGAATGCAGAGGTTTTGTTAGCGACAATTGGTCACCCTCGTGCATTTCAATCACAGTAATCTCTCTTTTTCTCCATTTCCATTCCGTTTTACTTCACCGTTTTGGTGGAGCTTTAGAGAGTGTAGAGTATACATTTCTCGAGGATAGAGTAGAGCCGAGAACCCTCGGTTTAGTTCGTGATTTCGATTATCGATAGCACTCGGGATTTTAAAGCACCCTGTCGATTTCCGCTCTGCGCTGTACTCTCTACACACGTTATACATATAAGAAGCGATGAGAGACTGGTGCTTTTTCACCCTCAATATCCTCATCACCATCACCATCTACTACATCAGTCTACTCTGTACCCCGTTGATGTAGTAGCGCAGTACACTGAGCCACCTTTATTTCTTTCTCTTTTTTTTTTCCTCCTCCACACCCCACATTCTTCTCTCACTCTCACGTGTGTCCTACAGTCCAATGATTTTTTATTCGCCGACGACTGTGACAATTGTCGCACTGGGAATTTGTGGTCCCTGCGGATGCCATTGGAGATTCATCTGATTGAACACTAGCTATTATCCGTCACACTTGTTACTCATCTCTCTTATTTATACTCACTCCTATATTCCGTGTATGCTCTGCTGTGTCTACAGAATCATACAATCAAACCATCTTGTTTTATTGCTTTAAATCCTTTTTCCGCATCCACTTTCATTTTTATTTATTTATTTACCTTTTTTTCAATATCATTATTAGTTATTATTATTATTACCCATAGAAACGATATTATATACGATATATTATTATTATTATTATTATAATACGACAAAAAAAATATTATTACATCTGTGTGACAGATTCTTCAAAAGTTGTGCCATAAGGACAAATACAATAATTAGATTTTTATGAAATCTACTGATAAGAGATAAACTAAAAGACTCAGCAAAGATCTGAGTAAATAAAAATAATATTTTCTCACGAAAAATTGTGAAGAAAAAATTATAGTTACATAATGATTCATTGTAAAACAACTAGCATGAAGTATAAATAGGGAAAAGCCGAGTTTCTTTCGAGGAATCTTTTTAGGAAAACAAATGATAGATCCCCGCGTGTCCTGGAATTTGGACTTGAGTAATTTTTGAGGTGAGATTAAGCAAAGTACCCAGGTAGTTCGGCAGCACTTAATTTTTGTAATACTCTAAATTCTGAAACTGCGGAGAACTAGAATAATTTTTGAACTCTAATAATTAGAATAAGATAAAGAATTAGATTATCTTTTGTAATACCGAAAAGTTTCTAATTTTTTTCAATATTCAAGAGAATTATCCAATTATTTATTCAAATTGAACTCCACTATTTCCAACAACTGAAATCTGTAGTAAATTTTTTATTCCAATGTAATATCTTTTAAGCGGATTATTTGTAAAAATAATCAGAAATTGAATGAAAAATAACATCCACGCCATTGAATTTCAGTTGGAGTAAAAATTAATACAACAAAAGTTTTATTATTATCATGATTTCAGCATTAAATTTATTTATTTCGGACGTGTATTATCGTGAGTATTATTCAGAAACCGCTACATTAAACTTGTATCATTTTGTTCTGTTATATGATACAGTAGTTGAGAAAAATAACGTTGATACGATTACCGCAGTGATCTTGCCAAGAAATATTTCAGATTATTTCACGTATTTCTAGATTTTTACTTATTTATCATGTTACTTCTCCTCTTTTTGGCAATTCTGACGCTTCAATCGGCTTTAAGAGCCTTCCACCTCATTCACCACCACCACAAAATTTTTCAATTACCGTTAGTCACCGTTTCTAAAGTAATAATCGGCCGATAAAATATATTCATTACATCGCGTTATCGTTTATCAACACTAACATCTTTATATATATATATATATATATATATATATTATAAAGTGTAAATTTTATGGTATGGCTGATGATGTAGAACTTCTTCTAAGGACACTTATTTCAACTGTTAAAATTTTAATTATTAAGACATTTTCATATAATTTCCTCAATAATAACTCATATCACTTATTAAAATTAATTAACTGATTTTTACGACTATTTTTTCAGTAAAATAATATATTTTTACAAAGAGCCAACAGATGTGTCTTGTCACATTTGTTACTGGTTGAATTTCCCACGAGTATCTACAATAAAAATAACCAACAATAAAGTATCATAAGAACCATAAAACGTATAATAACAATGTTGAAATAATAACCATGATAATAATTAACGAGTAACAGCCGTAGTGAAGCTATTGTCATAAAATTTAATAATAAAGTTGCGTGTACGATTGCAATCAAGTGACGATACAACGCTCGATTAAATTAAATGACATTGAAGGCCGTCAAACAATCGTCGAATGCAGGTGTTAAATCACAACAAAAACGTATTACGACTAATTTATTTCTTAATAATTCGCCGCCATCTGGTTGGTTATTTGTGTTAAATGACAACGTTCACATGATAGTCTTCAGGGTCTTCAGCTTTTAGTCCTCACTAAATATATACGTGTATACACCCTCACCCTCGGCGAGACAAGTCAGAGTTACCCAGAAATTATTTAACGATCAAATGGGCCTTCTTCCCTTCCCCTTCACTCATCAGTCCCACCTGCGTAGCTGCTCAAATCGCTCAAATACACGCACTCTCTTCACGCTTTATGAACACGCGATACAAGGTTTTGTAAACATACCGTATAAAGTTATACAAAGAGGGAGCTTCTAATTATGCGCCCACAAAGTGTCGACTTTTATTTGATTTCCGCAATCCCGGTTAACTTTTTCCCTTTTGACTCGTTGATATGCCTGATTTCCAGGTGTTATACCCTCGGGTTATTTTTATTGAAATTGTACACATTATTAACTCAATTTGGTAATTTTTAGCGTTTATTTGATAATATAATACGTACAATAAAAAGAATTTGATTATAATAACATAAAAAAATAAAAATTTTCCGAGAAGAAATGAAAATAAAATGCACTGATGGACTTAATTAGTGTGATTGATAGTGATTAATCAAAATCAAATTAACATACCACGGTTCCAAGGGAAATCTCAGTAGATTGGTCGAGTAAAACAAAGGAAAAATAGAATCAATTTCTAATTCTGGATGATGGATAATCTGCAAACGGGATGATGGTATTGGATTGGATGGCATTGATAGTAGGACGTTAAGTGAGTGGTGTACTAATTGAGATGCTGTAATACACAGTTGAGTAGTAGCATCAACGGGTGGGCTGCTATTCCTGCTATTCCTGCTATTCCTGCTTCTGGGTTGTAGGTACTGCGACGACTGCGGCCCATAGTGGC